CCCCAAAACCCCAAAACCCCAAAACCCCAAAACCCCTTTTAGAAACTCCAAGATTGAAATAGACTTGAGTCATTACTAAATTTTACAATATCAATTCAAAAATTTCCTTAAGTAGCTCTGGGTAATACATGCTAGAAATCCCGATGATAATCCATAAGACAAATAGAAATCCAAAGCATCTCGATGCTTTCTTGGTTGCATTTTGTCGTTGAAGCTCAATAAAATCTCTGTACTCCCTTTTCTCTTCATCAACTACAATTTATAATCACCGAACCTACGCTGTATTTCTGCTGGATTGTTGAATATTTGGTTCTTTTCTTCCTCTAAATGCTTCTGATTACGTTCTATCTCTTCCAGTTCCTTCTCAACGCCAAGCCTAGTCTCCTCTTTCTCTTCTTCCTGAATAAGTGGGTCGTTCTCATCAGGAGTTTCTTCCCCGTCAGAAATTTTTGAGTCTTCTTGAGGTTTTCTGCTCACCTTTTTAGTCAACTTAAATTCTGGAAGTTCTTCCTTTGGTGTTGCATCATCGTTGACTTTATTCTCCTCAGTCATCTTATCAGCGATAAGTTCCTTGATTGATTTACAGGTTTGACATTTCCAAAATTGAGAAGCCTTAGCCAGTCTTTTCCTCTCTGCTGGTGTTCACATGATCGATCCGATAGATAAGGTTTCCTCCTCTACAGGCATGTAAGAGATCAGACCAAGTAATATAGTCCTCACAGTCCAAGCTGGCTGCCAATACTCTGGATGGAAGTTCGTAAATGTAAGACAAATTTTCGTATTCGTCTCAAACCTCCCATTCGGAGTTAAAAACTGTACTGATGGAGGTTTAAATGGATATTTCTCAGGGAACAAGATGATTCCATGATAGAGCCCCCCTTCATAGTCAGTGCCAGGAGGACCTCTGATTGTGAAATGCCACTCGAACATTTCTCCTTTCACTGGTTCTGCATAGTACATATAACTAGGTTTCTTCTGCATGTCTGAGAACTCCTTGGTCAGCCTTTTAATTGAAAGCCCAGTGTTCATTGCCATCTTAATATTTTTACACTTGTTTTCAATAAATTTTCTTAAATTTGGGGTTTTGGGGTTTTGGGGTTTTGGGGTTTTGGGG